TTGAATCTCAATTATTGCATTCTTCATTTCTGACAGTTTTTTAACTCTTTTATCCCTGGGTTAAGGGCCTCCCTGAAGTCTTCCATGCTTTTAAGCCCAGTGAGTATCCTTATGACTGTTGCTTCAAATTCTCCATCAGGCATGTTACTTACATCTGTTTCACTTAGATTTCTGGCCGTGACCTTATCTTGTGTTTGAATTCCTCCATCTTGGCATTTTTTCTAAGTCTCTGTCTACTTCTCTGTGTTAGAAAAGCCTGTTATGTTTCCTGCTCCTAAGAATTATGGCTTTATGAAGAAGAATTCATAAAGTGTCCAGGGCCTGGTGCTTCAAGGAGTGTCTCTGGTGTGTGCTGAGTACACTCTGCTGCTGTGTTTCAGCTGCTCTTTCCTTCAGACCATTCCTCTTCAGAGGCTCTCCTTGCCTGCAGTGGGCAGTGTTTGGACCTTGGCCAGAGTGTGGTGTGTTTTCACTATGTGTGCTCTGTTCTGCTTGTTAAATGAGACTTGATGGTATTTCCACTAGAACAGAAGCCTTGCAGAACTCTCTGGTCAGGAGTTATGGTGTGTGCAGGGGTTTCTGCTGGTCTTCTGGGGAAGGGGCCCACTGTGCTGGAACTGAGGCAAACTTTACCTAGAAGGGGCAGTAAGGGCAGAGTGCAGGGGTGTGGGTCCTGATGTAAGCAAGTTAGGCAGCCAGTGTTGGTGCTGTGCTGTTTACTGAAGGTGGCTCTATGTTTATGTGATGGGCAGGGGAGGAAAATGGCACCAGCCAGCTCTTTTGTCCCAGGAGAGGGGTCTCCGTGCTTGCTGCTCTCAAAGAAGCACTCTGAAAAGAGCGAATAATCTCTCCCAGTGTATCCTGGTGTTTTTCAGTTGCTGTTTTCTTGCTCTTTGCCCCAGGGTTGTTCATCTGCCTTCTCTCCTGGAGTAGCACAGTGCCCTCAGGGCTCTGTCCCAGCCAAGCGTATTGACCTTACCTTTGAAACTCCTGTCTTTAAACCCCGCTGGTTGCAAAAACTCACAAAAATCAGCCCTTCTCATTTTCCCAGTCAATGACTGGGGAAGTGTTCTTCTTGTGCATTCCCCAGTGTACTCCTCACTCTCTTGCCTTTCTCTGTGATCAGGGCTCCCTTCCCTCCACAGCACCCATGCTGTTTCTCCTCCAAACCATGTCTCCACACTTCCTATCATTCTTGATGTGCCTCTTCTCTCCCTCTAATTGTGGAGTTTGTTCTGTCAGTCCTTGGGTTTATTTCTTGGGTATTCAGAATAATTTGATAGTTATCTAGTTGTGTTTGAGGGATGAGACGAACCTAGGGTCCTCCTACTACACCACCATCTTCTAGCTGTCTATATTAAGTTGATGGTCATTTAAGATTCAACACATTCTTTACTCCCCTCCTCCCCACATTTTAGGTATATGGTGTCATATTTTACATTCTTTTTTTTTTTTTTTTTGTATGTCTCTTGACTGATTTCTTACAGAAATACTCATTTCCTTTTTTTTTCTTTTTTTTTTTTTTTAAATTTATTTGAGAGACAGAGAATGAGAGACAGAGAGCATGAGAGGGAGGAGGGTCAGAGGGAGAAGCAGACTCCCCGCCGAGCAGGGAGCCCGATGTGGGACTCGATCCCGGGACTCCAGGATCATGACCTGAGCCGAAGGCAGTCGCTTAACCAACTGAGCCACCCAGGCGCCCCAGAAATACTCATTTTCACTGCTTTTATGTTTCCTACTTGATACTGTCACTTTTGGTCTTTCCTTTCCACTCAAAGAATTATTTTTAGTATTTTTTATAGAGCTGGTTTATTGGTCATTAACTCCATTAGTTTTTGTTTATCTGGGAAACTCTTTAGCTTTCCTATTCTGAAAGATAACCTTGCTGGATAGAGTATTCTTGCCTGCAGATTTTTCCCATTCAGCACTATGAGCATATCATGCCACTCCCTTTTTGTTGTAACATTTCTGCTGAAAAAGCTGCTGATAGCCTTATGGGATTTCCGTTATGTGTAATTGTGTTCTTTTGTCTTGCTGACTTAATTTTTTCTTTATTTATCACTATATTGCCATTTTAATTATAATATGTCTTTGTGTGGATCTGCTTTTGTTGATTTTGTTGGGGGTTCTCTGTGCCTCCTGGATCTGGGTATCTGTTTCCTTCCCCAGATTAGGGAAGTTTTAAGCTATTATATCTTAAAATATATTCTCTGCCCTCTTTTCTCTCTTTCTTTCTTCTGGGACTCCCATAATATGAATGTTATTATGTTTGATGGAGTCACTGAGTTCCCTAATTCTTTCACATAATTCTTTTTTCTCTTTTGTTTAGCTTGACTACTTTCCATTACTCTGTCATCTAGGTCATTAATTTATTCCTCTGCTTCTTCCAGACTGCTATTTATTCTGTCAACCATGTTATTCATTTTGTTTATTAAATCCTTTATCTCTGCTATATTATTCCTTATCTCTTTTTTAAGTGTCTCACTGATGTCTTCCACTCTTTTATCAAGTCCAGTGCATAGTTTTATGATCATTACTTTAAATTCTCTATCAGGCATGTTACTTATATCTATTTTAGTTTTAGCTCTCTGGCTGTGGCTTTGTCCTCTTTTTTCATTTGGGAGAAATTCCTCTGTTTTCTCATTTTGTTTGCCTCTCTGTATCTGTTTCTGTGTGTTAGGTAAGTCAGCTATGTCTCCTCTTCTTGGGGGTAATGACCTTCTGAAGAAGTCCTTGTAGTACCCTGGAGTGTAGTGTCCCCTTTTCCCCAGGACCTGACACTTCAGTGAATTTTTCTAATGTGTGGTGCATGCACTCTGCTCTTGTGTGCTGGCCACTTTATTCTTTAGGCCCATCTTCTGTAGATGCTGTCTTTGCCTGTTGTCAGCATTGTTTGGTCCTTGGCCTTTTGTGGTGAGTTTTAACTGGTGTGCTCCAGTCTGCTTGTGAAATGAGACATGTTGCCACTGCCACTGGAACCCAGGTCCTGCAAAACTCCTGGATCAGGAGATGCAGTGTTGGCAGGAATTTGGGCCAGTCTGAGGGAAGAGAACTGGTGTTAGGACTGAGGTTAAGTGTGACTTGGAAGGTCAGTTCCATCTGAGCACAATGGGGTGGGACTTGGCATAAGCAATTTAGGTAGTAAGTTCTGGTGCTATGCTGTTTCCCATAGGTGACCCTGTGCTTATGCAGATGGGAGGGAAATGGCAGCTTCTAGTTACTTTGTTCACAGACGGGTCTTTCCATGAATCCTGCCTCTCTGGGACACACTCTGAGATGGGCAGATAAGCTCCCCACTGTGTGCCTCAGGCACTCTTGAGATCAGTTTCCACACCACAAGTTTATGGGCTGTTTGCCCTGAATTCTTTCCAAGAGCAGCCCCAATACTTTGCATGCTCTCCCAGAGCCAAACCCGTTGACCTATAGAACTCCAGGCTTTAAGCCCCACTGTTTTCAAGAACTCATGAAATTCAGCCCCTCTGGCTTACCAAGCCAGTTGCTATGAGGATTCATCTTTCCCATGTGAGCTCCCCTTTGTGCTAGTCTGTCTCTTGCCCTTCTCTATGACCTTGGCTCCCTCCCCACTATGGAAACCATGATCTGTTTCTATCACAAGCCATGTCTCTGCCTTCCTGCCTTCTCTGATATGGCCTCTTCTCTACCTTTAGTTGTAGAGTTTGTTCTGCTAGTCTTCAGATCAATTTCTGTAGTATTTAGGATGAATTGGTATTTATCTACTTGTATTCATGGGAGGAGGCAAGCCTGGTCTCCTCCTACTCCACAGCTATCTTCCCCTCCATAGCAAATCTTGTTTATGTATTTCTCTTGCATTTTCTGCCTCTCATACCCCATCCACCACACCAGAACGCCTTCATATCTTTGTTTGTTGTAGGTTTTCTTCCAGGTATGGTGTAGATATTGAATTGTAAATGGAATTTTATTTCCTTACTAGGGATTTAAGACTTGAATTGTTTTTTTATAGAGTGAAATGTTGCATATCCTTTTATGTATTCTCTCATAAAGATTTGTAGAGCAATGAAATGGTGTTATACGTTTGCTAATATTGACTTTTATAATGTCATATATGTAAACAAGGGGAAAAGCATGAATATTAAATAGATAAAACTCAAAACATTTGAATAAAAAAAATCTCTAATTCATCATACTTCATTTCCTGTAAGACGTGATGTCTGGCTACTTGGCTACTCTTTTGGATACCTTTTAGTCCGACTAGAGGACAAGATGAAAAACATGTCTAAGATGTATTTAAGAAAAAGAATATAGGGGCACCTGGGTGGCTCAGTTGGTTGAGCATCTGACTCTTGATTTTGGCTGAAGTCATGATCTCAGGGACCTGGGATCCAGCCCCGTGTGGCTCTATACTCAGCATAGAGTCTGCTTGAGGATTCTCTCCCTATCTCTCTGCCCCTCCCTCCCATCTTTGGAATAAATAAATAAATAAATAAATCTTTAAAAAGAAGGAAAGATGTAACCATTGTATTTCAGTGTGTTAGTAGAAATAATTTCTGTACTTATCAATATACTGAGGTGTTTTTGAAAGAGACAGTGTTTGAAAGACCATTATTTTGATTTATTTCAAAAAGGAAATTCTCATGAAAGAAATATGCAAAACATTTTCTGTATCTGTGGTTGAACTTTAAACTTTACTCAGATCTCTACTCTGGACTTTTTGCTTGGAATATTTCATCGAGAAAGTACATTTGGAAATTCATAATTTAATGATTATTCTTTAAGATGAGAAGACCCTCCTAATAATGGCTAATTTGGGGACATTTGTTAAGTCATGCATATACACAAGCTGACATATCAAACAATTTAAAAGTTCTTTATAAATACTTTTTGATATATGTTTTATTTCCATTTTAATCTTGTTTTTTATTATTTATCTAGAAATTTATAGATGAAGGTTGTTTTTACTCTATTTAAGGTATATTAAAATGTATGTAATTTTGTGGCTTTATATCTTTGGTCTCATTAAGGTGATGGTGAGGTGGTAGAACAAGTAATTGGGCAACAAACCAATGACCAAGATGAAAGCATTCTTGATGGAATAATCAGGGAGCTACAGAGAGAACAAGATCTTAGACTAATTAACGAAGGAGATGTTCCACATTTTCCAATTAATAGATCATATTCTGCTAATGGTGGTAAGTATGTATATATTTATATGATGGAGGTACTTTATTTTAATTGCACTAAGTAATTACATGTAAGGAACATTTTAGGTTTTTAAATAAGAACATTTTTATTAATTTACAATTCTGATATCAAATACACCAAAGTGCCATAATCTCGTTGTCATTTGTGGCTAAAAGTTCTTAGCGTTTCTTAAGAAATACGGGTGGTATATTTAATATACTGTTTTCTCCTAACTCAAGAATGTTTTTGCAGTCTTTCCTTTTGTTATAATAAATGAGGTGCTGCAGTAAGTACAGCCTTTTTGTAAAAGGAGGACCAACCTATAATGTTTTCAAAATTAAAACCATGTGAATGTAAAAATTACTAACAAAAAATTTACCCTCCTTTGTTGAAAAAAAAAGCAACGTTATCCCCTTTGTCTCTTGAATTTACCAAAATACACTGGAAGATAAGCCCTATTCTTAGAAAATACAGATGCAACTTATGAATTGGTTTTCACAACAGTATGAATACTGGCTGTATTCTAATTTATTATATCTTTTCTTCACTTTACATGAAATGTGGCTATACATCTGAATTTTTTTAAAGATTTTATTTATTTGAGAGAGAGAGAAACACGAGAGGAGGGAGGGCCAGAGGGAGAAGCATACTCCCTTGCCAAGCAGGGAGCCCATGTGGGACTTGATCCTGGGACTTGGATCATGACCCAAGCCGAAGGCAGATACCCAACTGACTGAGGCACCCAGGTGCCATATATATCTGAATTTTATATATATCTTAGCTTCTGTCAGTTTTAGTTTTTTTTTTTTTTTTTAATGATGTAATACTTCATGAATTTGCGTGTCATCCTCACTCAGGGGCCATGCTAATCTTCTCTGTATCATTTCAATATAAGTGCTGCCAAAGTGAGCACCATCAGTTTTGCCTTTTTCAAGAACTATTAGTAGTACTTCAAAATGCAGTCTTCTTATGGGATTTTGGCAAATGTATTTCTTTTTACATTTATGTAATTGGGGTTTATTTGGGTATTATAGTCCAGGAATTGAATAAAGCAATTTAAATTTGAGGTGATTCACAGGGTATTATACTCATTTCCTGATTCTTAAGTATCCCATAAAATTAAAATTAAAATATTTTTTGTTCACCTAAGGAGCACCTAAACTCAGATAGGCTTTCCTTAACCTGGAACAAGATAAGAAGTGGGCTGATAATCCTACATAACCAGGCCCTTTTTGTTATACATTCTTAGAACCCTGATTTAGAGATTCATTAATGAAATCAGCGTTCAACTCTACCCTCCATACTATGTTTCTGTGGATATATTTGAAATGCCATTAGTCAGAGCGACCCCACTGACTTCTGTTTCCAATGTTTTTTTTGTTTGTTTGTTTTGTTTTTGTCTTTCCTGGGTGCTTATTTTAACAGTTGAATGAATCATTCAATTTCCATTTTTATTTTATTTACAAATACAACAAAAATAAATTAACAGGGAATATCTAGGGGCTTAAAAAAGCTTTCATTACTTTATTCCCCTTTCTTTCATTGCTTATCAACTTTGAAAATGGAATTTTGATAGTTAATATTTTTTGCTTATACTTTTTCTCTTATTACTACTTTTGAAAGCCTATTGAAACTTTATTCATAGACCTTTTAGTGGGCTAAATATAAGATTTAGATTAAAAACTGCTTTCTGAAGTAGTACTATTAAACATTTGTGAATCTACCAAATCATGTTAAATATACTTTTTGTATTTCCTAAGCATTTAGTAGATGACAGATGTGAACATACTTTGAAAATATTTAAAAGAGTGATAGAAACTTTAAACATTTATTGAGTGCTTTACTTTATTCAACACACTTTAAAAACCATAAAGGTGGTACAGAAAATGTAGAACAAAAGGATGGCAATATTGTCTAGAAGTACCATCTTAGACTCTCCTATTTCAGAGTACTGATCTCTAAAATTTTGGTGCCTTTACTGGGAGAAAGTGGTACCTTTCTTTTTATTTTAGCTTTGAGAAGTCCAAATATGGACATATCTTCATCACCAAATATTGGGCTTCGACGTAGTGGTCACATTGAAGGTGTCCGACAAATGCATAACAATGCTCCCCGGAGCCAGATGGCCACTGAAAGAGATCTCATGGCATGGAGCAGAAGAGTGGTGGTCAATGAATTAAATAGTGGAGTTAGTAGGTGAGTCAATAAGGTAACATTGATAAGAAAATTGAGAATTTTATTGTTAGTAAATTTTAATAACTAAGGTATTTTTTAATCAAGCTGAGTTTTGTATTAGTTTTTCTACATTATTCCAGTTAGTTCATTCTATAACAACTATTTAATGATTATCTTCAGTTTGCTTGGCTTTGTGCTAAATGGTTTGGGAAATACTGAAAAATGAAAAACATAGTTTGTTTTCCATGAGTTTATAGTCTAGGTTAGAAGATAAAGCATACAAATACTATTAAGTAAGAACTTGAGACCATTTATTATTAAATATGTTAGTGGTATATAGACCCAAAATTCAACAGTGGTTCTGAGGAAAAGGCCCTCAATTTGATATTGGAATAGTTTGGGAATGCAATATAGATGCATTGTAGACCCCAGTGCTTAGGGTATATTTTGAAATGCCCTCTAAGTATACCTCCTTGTATGAAAGGATTTTATTAGGATGAATTTCAAATTTAGAATACCTGTTCTTATTTATAAATCCTAACATTTGCTTTAATATTAACTCCAGATAATCCACATAGGCTGGAAGTAGATTTAGGAAAGAAAAAGGACATTTGACAGAGAACATACAAAATCTCTTAATCATGCTAACTCCTCTACCAAGCCTTCTTACCAGCTCATCCAACAAGTAGCAAACATAATTTAGTTTCACTTTTTCTTTCTACAACAGTAATAAGAAAAAGGGAGACATAGCTAATTTATGAACTCTTGGCAGTAGAGGAATTTGAAGTAATTCTTTGCTCAAAACGTTAAAGTACAATTGAAAGAAGGAAGTCAAAGAGATACTTGTATGCCAATGTTCATTGCTATATTATTCACAATACCAGAACAGTAGAAATAACTCCAGTGTCTGTCCTCAAATGAATGGATAAACAAAATGTGATATATACATACAATGGAATATTGCTCAGTCATAAAAAAAGAATGAAGTTTTGATACCTGCTACCACATGGATAAACATTAAAAACATGCTAAGTGAAATACCAACACAAAAGGACAAATAGCATATGATTCCACTTATATGAAATATATAGAGAAAGCAAATTCATAGAGACATAAAGTTGATTAGAGGTTAACAAGGACTGGTAGAAGGAGAAATAGAGAGTTACTGCTTAATGGTTACAAAGTTTGTTTGGAGTGATGAAAAAGTTTTGCAAATAGTGGTGATGGTTGTTATACAACATTGTAAATGTCATTAATGTACACCTAAAAATAGTTAAAGTGGCAGATTTTACATTTGAAGATATTTTTGTTGCCTGCCTTTTAGATTGTTGGTTTGATTTTTTTAATAGTTATTTATTTTATTATGTTCAGTTAGCCACTGTATAAGTACATTATTAGTTTTTGATGTAGTGTTCAATGATTCATTAGTTTCATATAATACCCAGTGCTCATCACAACACGTACCCTCCTTAGACTGTTGGTTTGATTTTTGATGATTTTCTGTCACTTTGACCTTTGTTATCAGGGTTCAGGAAGAATGTCGAACTGCAAAAGGTGACATAGAAATCAGTCTTTATACAGTCGAAAAGAAGAAAAAGCCATCTTATCCTACCCAAAGGGTAAGTTTAGTTTTATAGTCCTTTGGGTTACACTACTTGCAAGTATTTGCAGATACTGGGTTTTTCAAAGGTAGCAGTTATGAATTAAGGGGTTATTTTGCTAGTTGACTACATGTAGGTAACCTGTTTTTTAAACCTGAAATTGAAATATATGGCAATTATTAATAAAGATAAAATTACACAAAATCAGGACTGTCCCCCAAAATTTAGGACGTGGTCATTGTAGGTATAAAATATTTGTATTAAAATACCATTTTCATATGTTTAGAGTAAAACCTTAAAATTATTGCCTGATCACTAATCACAGTGTAAAATAAATGTTTGGATATCCTAGGTAAGAGGTTGACAAACTATTACCCATGGTCTAAATCTGGTCTACAGCCTATTCTTGTTAATAAAAGTTATATTGGAACACAACCACACTTATTAATTAATATGTTGTCTATGGCTGCTTTCCCGCTATAGAGTTGAATAGTTATAACAGAGATCACATGACCTGCAAAGCCAAAAATATTTACATTCTGGCCCTTTACAGAAAAGGCCCACTCATAGCCTAGCTAATCATATAGGAGCAAAATCTGATCTATACATTGGGAAAATTCATATTCCCAGTAGAAACTGCTAAGCAGGGAGTCAGATTCCTATACTTCATTAGGTACATAAGTAAACCCCTTACTAGTATTCTGAGATTGAACAAACTAGTGGCAGAACGATGTATGTCCTTATTCCCAGATCTAACCATAACTCCTGAAAAGTATGGTAACTTGGAGAGTGTAGGATGATTTTAATTTTATTAAAGAAATATAGGCAATGGGCACTGAATTTTAAATGTTTTTTTTTTCAGTATTGATAAACACAATTTTAAGTAAGTATATGAATATATTCAAATATCCTTAGATCATTTTGTTACCTGCTTTCTTAATTTCTGTTGAGGTTTTGTTAGCTTATTTGATGTTCTCTGATAAGGTTATTTTCTTAGAGATTTTGAATGACTCAGATCCATGATTTATATTATTTTTTTCCCTAAGCTGATTTTTCAAATATCAGACTTGTCTGACACTAATAAACAGGGTCATTGGGTCAATAGAAATTTTTATTTATATCAAAAATAAGAAATATTTACATGTAGGGTAAGAAACTGGTCTTTGATAATGATTTATTTGTAAGAATTTTAAACTTGTTTACTCCTGATAACATGCTATGGTTGTAACTTTTACATAAGGCTGTATCATTAATATTTTATATTTGTAAAGGTTAGAATAAAATAATTTTCACTTTAATTTTAGTTGATAAAAATTAAGTATTTTTCTTGGTTTATTAAATGTAGTTTTTTAAAGAATTAAAGAAGTGTATATTATATTAAGAATTACATATATATAGGTATGATACAGATATCTTGCTTCATCTTGAAATAAATTGTGAGTAATATAGTAAATGTAAAATCTGAGTGGGCCCATTCTTGCAACCCAAATTTTCAGCATACACTTTAATTTGATCACAAAATTTTCAAAATAGGAAAGTAATGAATATTAATGCAAGATGCCTTAAATATATATAGATGTATCTTGTATTTTCTTTTTGGGGATTTATTCCTAATTATTACATCCATCATTCCCCCTCCCCCACCCAGTTGATTTGCTTTATATATGTTTGTTTTTGTTCACAGAGCCTTTCATTTTTTTAAATTATGTTATGTTAGTCACCATACAATACATCATTAGTTTTTGATGTAGTGATCCACGATTCATTGTTTTCATATAATACCCAGTGCTCCATGTAATATGTGCCCTCCTTAATACCCATCACTGGGCTAACCCATCCCTCCACCCCACTCCCTGCTAAAAGCCTCAGTTTGTTTCTCAGAATCCATAGTCTCTCATGGTTCGTCTGCCCCTCTGATTTCCCCCCTTCATTTTTCCCTTCCTTCTCCTAATGTCCTCCTTATTCCTTATGTTCCACATATAATTGAAACCATATGATACTTGACTTTCACTGCTTGACTTATTTCACTTAGCATAATCTCCTCCAGTCCCAGCCATGTTAATGTAAAAGTTGGGTATTCATCCTTTCTGATGGCTGAGTAATAGTCCATTGTATATATGGACCACATCTTCTTTATCCATTCATCTGTTGAAGGGCATCTCACCTCTTTCCACAGTTTGGCTATTGCGGACACTGCTGCTAGGAACATTGGGGTGCATATGGCCCTTCTTTTCACTACATCTGTGTCTTTGGGGTAAATACCAAGGAGTGCAATTGCTAGGTCATAGGGTAGCTCTATTTTTAATTTTTCGAGGAACATCCACACTGTTTTCCAAAGTGGCTATACCAACTTGCATTCCCACCAACAGTGTAAGAGGGTTCCCCTTTCTCCACAACCTCTCCAAAATTTATTTCTTGCCTTGTCAATTTTTTCAATTCTGACTGGTGTAAGGTGGTATCTCAATGTGGTTTTGATTTGAATTTCCCTGATGCCTAGTGATGATGAACATTTTTTCATGTGCCTGTTAGCCATTTGTATGTCTTCCTTGGAGAAGTGTCTGTTCATGTCTTCTGCCCATTTCTTGACTTGATTATTTGTTTTTTGGGTGTTGACTTTGAGCAGTTCTTTATAGAGCTTGGATACCATCCCTTTATATGTAGTATCATTTGCAAATATCTTCTCCCATTCTGTGGGTTGCCTCTTTGTTTTGTTGACTGTTCCCTTTGCTGTGCAGAAGCTTTTTCTCTTGATGAAGTCCCAAAAGTTCATTTTTGCTTTTGTTTCATTAGCCTTTGGAGATATATCTTGAAAGAAGTTGCTGTGGCCAATGTTGAAGAGGTTACTGCGTAGGTTCTCCTCTAGGATTTTGATGGATTCCTGTCTTACATTGAGGTCTTTCATCCATTTTGAGTTTATCTTTGTGTATGGTGTTAGAGAGTGGTCGAGTTCCATTCTTCTGTATATAGCTGTCCAATTTTCCCAGCACCATTTATTGAAGAGACTGTCTTTTTTCCATTGCATATTTTTTCCTGCTTTGTCGAGGATTATTTGACCATAGAGTTGAGGATCCATATCTGGGCTCTCTATTCTGTTTCATTGGTGTATATGTCTGTTTTTGTGCCAGTACCATGCTGTCTTGCTGATCACTGCTTTGTAATATAGCTTGAAATCCGGCAATGTGATGCCCCCAAGTTTGTTTTTCTTTTTCCACATTTCCTTGGTGATTCGGGGTTTTTTCTGATTCCATACAAATTTGAGTATTGTTTGTTCCAGCACTTTGAAAAAAGTTATTGGAATTTTGATCAGGATGGCATTGAAGGTATAGATTGCTCTGGGCAGGATAGATATTGTAACAATGTTTATTCTTCCAATCCATGAGCATGGAATGTTAAAATCTTTTTGTGTCTTCTTCAATTTCTTTTGTGAGTGTTCTGTAGTTCCTAGAGTACAGATCCTTTAACTCTTTGGTTAGGTTTATTCCGAGGTATCTTATGTTTTTGGTGCTATTGTAAATGGAATCGTTTCTCTAATTTCTCATTCTACAGTTGCATTATTAGTGTATAAGAAAGCAACTGATTTCTGTGCATTGATTTTGTACCCTGCCACATTACTGAATTCCTGTATGAGTTCTAGTAATTTGGGTGTGGAGTCTTTTGGGTTTTCCACATAAAGTATCATGTCATCTGCGAAAAGAGAGAGTTTGACTTCTTCTTTGCCAATCTGAATACCTTTTTTTCTTTTTGTTTTCTGAATGGTGTTGCCAGGACTTCTAGTACTATGTTGAACAATAGTGGTAAGAGTGGGCATCTTTGATGTGTTCCTGATCTTAAGGGAAAGGCTCTCAGCTTTTCCCCTTTGAGGATGATATTTGCTGTGGGTTTTTAATACATGGATTTTATGAACTTGAGGAATGTTCCCTCTATCCCTATACTCTGAAGAGTTTTAATTAGGACAGGATGCTACATTTTGTCAAATGCTTTTCTGCATCAATCTCAGTCCTGGTTATTGGCCTATTCAGGTTCTCAATTTCTTCCTATTTCAGTCTTGGCAGTTTATAGGTTTCCTGGAAGGTATCCATTTCTTCCAGGTTGCTTAATTTATTGGCATATAGTTGCTGATAATAATTTCTAATAATTGTTTCTATTCCCTTTGTGTTAGTCGTGATTTCCTCCCTTTCATTCATAATTTTATTAATTTGGGTCCTTTCTCTTTTCTTTTGGATAAGTCTGGCCAGTGGTTTATTGATCTTATTAATTCTTTCAAAAAAACAGCTTCTAGTTTTGTTTGTCCAATTTACTGTGTTTCTGGTTTCTAATTCATTGATCTCTGCTCTAATCTTAATTATTTATCTTCTAATGTGTGGCTTATGGCATCATTTTTTTGCTTTTCCTCTAGTTCTTTAAGGTATAGAGTTAGTTGGTGAATTCAGGATTTTTCTGGGTTTTTTTGAGTGAGGCTTGGATGGCTATGTAGCTCCCCCTTAAGACCGCCTTTGCAGTATCGCATAGGTTTTGGACCAATATGTTTTCGTTCTCATTGGTTTCCATGAATTGTTTAAGTTCTTCTCTGATTTCTTGGTTGACCCAAACATTATTGAGCAGAGTGGTCTTTAGCTTCCAAGTGTTTGAATTTCTTCCAATTTTTTTCTTGTGATTGAGTTCCAGTTTTAAAGCATTATGGTCTGACAATGTGCAGGCAATAATCTCAATCTTTTGTAATCAGTGGAGACCAGATATGTGACCCAGTATGTGGTCTATGCTGGAGAATGTTCTGTGTGCACTTGAGAAGAATGAATATTCTGTTGCTTTAGGGTAAAGTGTTCTGTATATATCCATGAGGTCCATCTGGTCCAGTGTGTCCTTCAAAGCTCTTGTTTCTTTGTTGATTTTCTGCTTAGATGATCTGTCTATTGCTGAGAGTGGAGTATTGTGGTCTCCTACAATTAACGTATTGTTATGGATATGACTATTTTCGTTAACATTGGCTTATGTAGATGGCTACTCCCATGTTGGGAGTGTAGATATTTACAATTGTTAGATCTTCTTGTTGGATAGATCCTTTAGGAATGATATAGTGTACTTCTGTGTCTCTAACTACAGTCTTTAGTTTAAAATCTAATTTGTCTGATATAAGAATTGCTACCCCAGCTTTCTTTTGAGGTCCGCTGGCATGGAAGATGGATCTCCATCCCTTCACTTTCAGTCTGGATGTATCTTTAGGTTCAAAATGAGTCTCTTGTAGACAGCATATGGATGGGTCCTGTCTTTTTATCCAATCTGCAACCCTGTGCCATTTTATGGGAGCTTTTAGGCCATTCACGTTGAGAGTGATTATTGAAAGATATGAATTTATTGTCATCATGTTGCCTGTGAAGACTTTGTTTTTATAGATTGTCCCTGTAAATTTCTGTTGTATATCATTCTTGGGGTCTTTCTCCTTTTATAGAAACCCCCTTAACATTTATTGCAGGACCGGCTTAGTGGTCACTTGTTCTTTCAGTTTCTGCCAGTCTTGGAAACTCTGCATCACTCCATCCATTGTAAATGACAGCCTTGCCAGATAAAGTATTCTTAGCTGCATGCTCTTCTTGTTTAGTACCCTGAATATGTCTTGCCAGGACTTTCTGGCTTGCCGGGTCTCTGTGGATAGGTCTGATGTTATTCTGATGTTTCTCCCTGTGTACGGAAGGAATCCCTTCCCCCTAACTGCCCTTAAGATGGTTTCCTTGGTTCTAAGATTTGCAAGTTTTACTATTACATGCCAGGCTGTTGCCTATTTTCCTTGATCTTGGGAGGGGTCCTCTCTGCCTCTAGGACACGAATGTTTGTTTCATTCCCCAGATTAGGGATGTTCTCAACTACGATTTGTTCAAATGTATCTTCTAGTTCTCTCTCTCTACCCTCTCAGGGATCCCAATAATTCTGACATTAGAATGTTTCATGGTGTAGCTTATTTCTCTGATTCTGTTTTAATGGATTTTGATTTGTTTTTCCCTGGCCTCCTCTTTTTCCTTCTTTTCTATCAATTGGTCTTTTAGGTCGCTAATTCGTTCTTCTACCTCGCTTACCCTAGCTGTTAGATTATCTAGATTAGATTGGATCTCATTGATAGCATTCTTAAATTCTGCCAGTTCAGCTTTCATTTCTGCCTTTAGAGACTCTATGTTGCCATTAATCGATTAATCATTCTAGCTATTGGTCTTCACAATTGCTACCCTGAATTCCATTTCCAACATCTTGGTTATATCTGTATCCATTTGTAAATCTGTGGCAGAAGTCATGGTCTCTGAGTCTTTCCTATTTTTGTGGTTCCTCCTCCTAGTCATTCTTTTGGGGGGTGGTTGAGGGAATGTACAGAGTACAAATTATTGACCACAACCCAAGCAAAATGCACCTGTTTTATAGGGGCCTTAGGGTTGTCAGCCTCTTGTTCTTCCAGCCTGTCTTCTGGGGGAGGGGCCTGCCATGCTGTTACTCAGGCAACCCTGTTTGGGCAGAGTTGCCCTGCCCCCTGTGGGGGGAGGAGATGGGCTCGGTGAAAACCAGTTTTTCGGGGCTTTTGTTCTCTGGCGGCTTTCCCTGGTGGCTTTCTGCATCTCTTCCGAGAGTCAGAGCAGAAGAGATCGTTTCCAACCCTCTGCCTCAGACCAGAGAGATCGTAGTCTGTTCGTCAGTGAGCTCTCCAGGCCACACTATCTCCGTTTCTGTCTGTGCTGCTATCATCTGCAGCATCCTGTGTTCTGCACCCCTCAGTAAGGCTCCCAGTCCTTGCCTCCAGGTTGGGGCACGTCTCTGCCCTTTCTGCTTTTAAAACTGCCAGCTGCCCCAAGTTCCAACATGCGGCCCCGCCACTCCAGGTTTCAATCTGGGGGGCTTCCCTAAATTCCTTTCCTCATCACTACTGGTCTGTGAATTTCTGCCCATTCCCCAGCACAGGAGGCCTTTGTGCTCCTGTGTTATTTCACCTTCCTGGTGCCAACGGTTATGGTAGCTCCCTCCCCCTTCCGTTTATCTTCCAATATTTGCCCGCAGAATCATGACTCCCCACTTTGTACCTAAAAACCAATATCGCCTGCGATATTCTTTTTGTAAAGATCCAGATCTATCTTCTTACATCTCAGGCTGATCTCATGGGTGTTCAGAGTGGTCTGGTAGATATCCAGCTCAATTCCGGGGACCGGTTGGAATAGTGTCCCCCACTCCTTCACCATCTTTTCCTCCCCCCGAGCCTTTCATTTTTTTAAACCTATTTTCTTTCTGTTTTACAGAATGATTATCAGCCTAGCTGTGGGCGGTCTTTACGAAGGACACAGCGCAAGCGTCAGCATACTTACCAAACACGGTCCACCATAGAGCATAAATCACAAGCATCGTGTCAAAATTCAGGTGTACAGGAAGACTCAGACAGCTCCTCTGAGGTTAGCTATCTGCTATTATTTACTTGGTGTAATTTTTAGTTTACCAGTTAGTGTCATCACCTTGGGTTTACTTTTAATAGTCATTTTAATATAATTTTAATGTATTTTCTTTTAAGAAGAGTATTCATTAATAAGGCATTTAATAGGCAACTTTGAGCATTATATTGAATTCCTTTAGATATGTTCTATGATTTATACCAAAGAAATTATTTTGTTTGAGTGTATCAGATATGCCAGTAAAAGTTTGACTTTGGGACAATGAGAAAAGAGTGAGAGGAATTCTGCCCATAAATAAAAAGTGGAATATAAACAGTGATGACTAGTTTACAGTCCCAGAACTCATTTACTGTGTAATCAGCAGAAAGGCACATTTTCAGTTATTGTTGACTTCATCAGTCATGGAGATTATGAAGTGATGGCTTTTTTCAGACCTACTTTTTTCATGGTAATAGAATAAGAGTATACCTGTTCTTTTCTTCCTCTCTTCTTCAGTCCTTTCCTTTTGTTCTCTTAACAACTTTAGTTGTTAAGTGGCTAATGTGGGTTTAATTATTCATTGACAATATATGGCACTCCCATTATTCTTCCAGCATTCAATTTTTTAATTCTTATCAATGATATCCTTCCTTTTTCCCTCACCTATGGAAATCTTGAACTAAAATGAATGGTCAGGTATTGAGGAATGACATTACATTTCTAATGTCATAATGGTAGTGAGGTTTTGTTTTAAAAAAGAATATTAATCTTACTAAATGTTTACAGTTAAAATTCTTTTTTTATAAAATGACATTGAAATAATCACGTGGGTATGAGGCAGTTGGTGATGGTACAGATAGAACAAGATTGGCAGTGAGTTACTGTATAAACTGGAGATTGTGTACACAAGGTAATTTATTCTCTCTACTTTGCTATGTTTGGAATTTTGCATAATAAAAATTATTAATTTTTATGGAGAGTAATTATATTAACTTGGCAGAGGCATATAGATGTTTTTTAAGCAATGGTTTTAGCATTTAAGAGGGTTATATTTGGGAACCTTAAGGAGTCTCTTCAGCCTTTGAAATAATAAAAGATGTCCCATATCAGTAAGATAGTAGATGTTAAAAAGAGTTTTAAATACCTGGTAAGCTTAGTTGTGAGTTACAGATATATGTAGAAAAATGATTATGTGCATTTTTTAAATATTTATTTATTTGTTTTAGAGAGAGAGAAAGAGAGAGTGCGTGAGTGGGGGAAGGGGCAGAGGGAAAGGGAGAGGAGAGAGAGAATCTCAAGTAGACTCACCACTGAGTGCAGAGCCTGACAGGTAGCTCAATCCCACCGCCATGAGATCATGACCTGAGTTCAAAATTGAGTCGGACATTCAACCTACTGAGCCACCCAGGAGCCCCTAATTATGTACTTAACTGGAAAGTTGTTTTGGTTGGAGAAAATACAAAAAGTGTTATAAAACAGGTACTGTGTGATAATTAATAATATGCTAGTTAATAACCATATATCTCAATTGCTGGCTCCTTATTGCAGGAAGATGAAACAATTGGCACAAGTGATGCTTCTGTAGAGGATCCTGTTATTGAATGGCAAAGTGAAAGTTCTTCCAGGTAGTTTTAATGGTTTTGATTTGATCAAAATTATTTGACCATTTTAATGTGAAATTATCTTCTTGTAGGAATTTGGTAAAACCGGAGTTAAAATAGTATTTTATAGTAGAAAGAGTACTAGGTTGGAAATCCAGAAACTTGCTTTATCCTGGTTCTGCCAATATCTTTTTGGGCATGTCACTATGGGCTTTAGTTTCCTCATTTGTAAAATAAGATGCTTTGTAAATCCAAGATTCTGCATCTTAGCAGGCTATGTTTATTTAGTTGAGTTTTAAAACAGCTACATTTAACCATTTACAGGGATTAGGGACACCTTTAATTAAAAAAGCTTTTGTGACTTGAACAGGAATTTTGAATTTTAAATTCTGTTATGGGAAACTAACCATTATACTTTATTCAAGAAGGATTTCACTGAAATCACTTAGATAATGATCAAAAATCTATATTGATATTTTTTCTGTTCAGTTAGAACAATATCAAGCCATGTCATTTATAATGCTGTTTTATTACAAAATGATCATCTTTCAATTAGGAGGCAAAACTATTCCTTTTCTAAACTTACATATTCATAATTTTGATATATTTATAGTGATTCATCAAGTGAATATTCTGATTGGACAGCAGATGCTGGAATAAATTTGCAACCTCCAAAAAGACAAACCAGACAGGCAACACGGAAAATATGCAGCAGCTCTGAAGAGGAGAATTTGAAGTCATTAGAAGAAAGGCAAAAGAAACCTAAACAAACTAGAAAGAAGGTTTGTAAATTTACAAGTTGTTTTTGTTGTTTTTGTTTTTGCCTTTGACACTTGAATAATAGTAACACTTGACTTTTCTCTAAAAATAACATTCCATCTGAGAAACTAAGTAAAATTGTCTAAAATGACTTTAAAATAAAAAGAAGTTTTAAATTTTTTTGTTATCAAAAGTAGAGGCTAGAATATCTTCATTATTATTTTAGTTATTATTAAATTAAAACATTGATAATCACTTTTTAAAATATAGTAGAGTTTTATTTTTTTTTATTATGTTGTTAGCCACCATACAGTACATCATTAGTTTTTGATGTAGTGTTCAATGATTCATTAGTTGTGTATAACACCCAGTGCTCATCACAACACATGCCCTACTTAGTACCCATCACCTGGCTACCCCATCCCCCAACACCCTCCCCTCTGAAACCCTCAGTTTGTTTCCCGGAGTCCAGAGTCTCTGATGGTTTGTCTCCATCTCTGATTTCCCTCCCTTCATATTTCCCTTCCTTCCCCTATGGTCCTCTGTGCTATTCCTTATGTTCCACATATGAGTGAAACCATATGATAATTGTCTTTCTCTGCTTCACTTATTTCACTTAGCATAATCCTGTCCATTTCCATCCATGTCGATGCAAATGGTGGGTATTCATCCTTTCTGATGACTGAGTAAATAGGCCATTGAATGTATGAACCACATCTTCTTTATTCATTCATCTGTTGAAGGGCATCTTGGTTCCTTCCACAGTTTGGCTATTGTGGACATTGCTGCTATGAACATTGGGGTGCATATGCCCCTTCTTTTCACTACGTCTGTATCTTTGGGATAAATACCTAGTAGTGCAATTGCTGGGTTGTAGGAAAATTTAGTAGAGTTTTAAATAATAAGCTACTATAGTATGAAAATGTTATTCTTGTCATGATTCTGGTCATAAATTTCTGTACATTTTTGACTTGTAAAATGGAAGGGTATAATAAATTATGTAGGTGTTCTTCCATTTATTTATATGTTTTTATTTCATCCCAATGGTGGTTTCTCTTCCTCATAGAATTTCAGGTAAAGACTTAATCCACATAGTTATTTGAATATTAATTTAAAAATTTATTATGTATATATTCTGTATCCTGTTGCTTTAGTAGACAGAATTATCTTCTTGATTGTCACCATTTTATTGGCAAAAAGATCCTCTGTTACTTTCACTCAAATTCACATGGTATTCTGAGGTCTTGAAAGTTTGTGGTTCTTACATAGTTTATAATGTTGTATTATTATCTGTCAGCCAAAATTGAGCAACGTATTAAAGAATTAACTTGATTATTTTATTGGTACAAGATTGTACATAATTGGTGAATGAAAATGTTTAAAATTTTTATATTTTAGGTTTTATTATAACCTGATTTTTTTTAACATTCTCTGTTATTTTTCATACTACGATTCATATATTTATGGTTTATATATTTGTGAACTATATTTTAGAAAGGAGGACTGCTTTCTATGGCAGGTGAACCCAATGAAGAATGGTTTGCCCCTCAGTGGATTTTGGATACCATACCACGACGTTCCCCATTTGTCCCACAGATGGGAGATGAGGTAATTGTTACCTGTTATAATCTTTTTCTCTTGGAACCTCAAGAGCACTCACTTTAATCAGTCTTAGGACATTTATATTTTCAATTCTATTATAGTTATATGTACACTGTCTTAACTGCTCTCCTTCATTTTATATTCTTGTGGACAGTGACAGAATCTTACTAGTTTTTGTATCCTTGGTGTTGTCGACAACCTACCTCTGTGCTTCAGAGACAAAATATAACTCGAAGACAGAGTTTGAGTAAAGAGGAAAAGAGGAACAGTAGCTTTATTGCCTTCCCAGGCAAAAGAGGCTACAGGAGGCTATGGCCTTCAAAAACTGCTAGTCCACTGGAGGAAGGGGATAGGGGGTGTTATAGGGAAATACAGAATCAAGCCGGTTTTGATAGGCGTTGTGTACTTTCTACCAGCTCTTTTGTCATGACGTCTTTAGGGTGGTAACAGGTTACTGAAACAAAAGGCTAAGAAGGGAGGAGGGGAGGTTTGCAGAATAGAGGTAAAAGATTACTTTAAAATCTAGCTTCACTAAAGCATTACTGTAGCCATTTTGATTTCTGTTCAACTTAGCACAGAATCTTCAATATATTAGATGCTCAGAGAATATTTAAATAAATTGATTGGCTTATGAACTCATGAAAATAATTGTCTTTATTTTTAGCTTAATTGCCACTTAGTAGAATTAAAGTGGTATTTTGAGTCCTAATTCAAGTCCTAGTATTCTTTTTTTTTAAAAAAAGTCCATGCTCGGGGCGCCTGGGTGGCTCAGTCGTTAAGCATCTGCCTTCGGCTCAGGTAATGATCCCAGGGTCCTGGGATCGGACCCCACGTTGGGCTCTCTGCTCGGCGGGAAGCCTGCTTCTCCCTCTCCCACTCCCCCTGCTTGTGTTCCTGCTCTCGCTATGTCTCTCTCTGTCAAATAAATAAATAAAATCTTTAAAAAAAATAAAAAAGCCTATGCTCAACCTGATAGAAAATATACTAGAGGACAGTTACCCATTTCAGTGATTAGAAGAATGTCATTTCATGAGCAAGTCTTTCCTACTGAGCCTATGATTGAATTAACATAGCCATGTTTATCAGTGTTCTGTCAAAAATTGATTTAAATTCTCTCGTGAGAAAGTTTTCATTTTCTTATGAAATTATGGTAACATTGTAATATTTTAACTAAAATTGGCTTGTATATTCTCTGATATATTGAGTAATCATTTCTGAGTGATTAAATGTTTGCAGTTTTTAATTTAAGACTATTAATAGGAATGTAATATTGCCATCATAATAAAAGAAGGGGCAGAACTTTGCAAATGGATCTAAAAGTCATGGAACCAATAAAAATTTCACCAAATGTTTCTATAATTGACTTGTAGATATCTTATACCAGACACAGTGATCAAGTAGTCTTATAAAGAATTACTTGCTCATTATCTTTTGATATTATTAAAATGTTTCCTTTCATAATTGTGTCTTCAAGTAAGTATTGGAATTTGGAGCAGTGCTTGTTTGTGTGGTTATTTTAGTAGAACATGCTCTGATGAATGCTATATTTAAAAAAACCTAAAGAACTTGAATTTCAGGGGTATATTCAAAATCATGATTTGTTGTACTTATTGCCTGTTCTTATGGAGGCTTAAGGGGAGTAATTTTTTTTTAAGATTTTATTTAAATTCCAGTTACTTAACATACAGTTTTATATTAGTTTGTTTCAGGTATGCAATATGCTGATTCAACACTTCCATACAACACCTGGTGCTCATCACAAGTGTACTCCCTAATCTCTAGCACCTATTTAACACATCCCCCTACCCACCTCCCCTCTGGTAACCATCATTTTATTCTCCATAGTTAAGTTTCTTTCCTGATTTCCCTTGCTCTCTCTTTTTTTTCCCTTTGCTACTTTGTTTTGTTTCTTAAATTCCACATATGAGTGAAATCATATGGTATTTGTATTTCTCTGACTGCCTTATTTCACTTAACATGATATTTTTTTTTTTTTTTTAAGATTTTATTTATATTTGACAGAGAGAAAGCACGAGCAGGGGGAGTGGGAGAGGGAGAAGCAGGCTTCCCGCAGAGCACGGAGCCCGATGCGGGGCTCGATCCCAGGACCCTGGGATCGTGACCTGAGCCGAAGGCAGACGCTTAACCATCTGAGCCACCCAGGCGCCCCAACATGATATTTTCTAGCTAAATCCATGTCCTTGCAAATGGCAAAATTTCATTCTTTTCAATGGCTGAGTAATATTCCATTGTGTATAGATAAAACATCTACTGTATCCATACATAAGTTGATGGACACATGGGCTGTTTCCATAATTTGGCTATTGTACATAATACTGTAATAAACATTGGGGTGCATGTATCCACTTGAATTAGTATTTTTGTATTCTTTAGGTAAATAACTAGTAGGGTAAATTCTGGATCCTAGGGTAGTTCTATTTTTAACTTTTTGAAGAACCTCCATACTGTTTTCCACAGTGGCTGTGCCACTTTGCATTCCCACCAACATTGCAGGAGGGTTCCTTTTCTCCACACCCTCGTCAAGACTTCTTGTTTCTTGTGTAGTTGATTGTAGCCATTTTGACTGGTGTGAGGTGGTATCTCATTGTAATTTTAATTAGCATTTCCCTGATGATGAGTAATGTTGAGTATTTTTTCACCTGTGTGTTGGACATCTGAGTGTCTTCTTTGAAAAAAATGTCTATTCATGTGTTCTGCCCATGTTTTAATTTGATTATTTGTTTTTTGGGTGTTGAGTTTTATAACTTCTTCATATGTTTTGGATATTAACCCTTTATCAGATATGTCATTTGCAAATATCTTTTCCCATTCTGTAGGTTGCCTTTTAGTTTTGTAGATTGTTTCCTTTGCTGCACAGAAACATTTTATTTTGATGTGGTCCTCACAGTTTATCTTTGCTTTTGTTTCCATGCCAATGTCAAAGAAGTTAGTGCCTGTGTTCTCGTCTAGGATTTTTGTGGTTTGAGGTCTTTCATTTAGGTCTTTAATCCATTTGGAATTTATTTTTGGTTTTGGGTATATGAAAATGGTCCAGTTTCATTATTTTGTATGTTGCTGCTCAATTTTCCCAACACCATTGGTTGAAGAGACTCTTTTTCCCATTGAATGTTCTTTCCTCCTTTATCAAAGATAATTGATCATGTAGTTGTGTTCTATTGACCTATGTATCTGATTTTGTGCCAATACCATACTGTTTTGATTACTACAGCTTTATAATGAAAATTGAAATCTGGAATTGTGATGCATCCAGCTTTGCTATTCTTTTTCAAGGTAGCTTTGGCTATTTGGGGGTCTTTTGTGGTTTCATACAAATTTTAAGATTGTTTGTTCCAGTTCTGTGAAAAATGCTAGTGGTATTTTGATAGGGATTGCATGAAATGTGTAGGCTATGTTGGGTAGTATAGACATTTTAAAAATATTTGTTCTTTCAATCCCTGAGCATGAAGTGTCTTTCCATTTCTTTGTCTTATCTTCAATTTCTTTCATCAGTGTTTTACAGTTTTTAGAATACAGGTCTTTAACCTCTTTGGTTAGATTTATTCCAAGGTATCTTATTAGTTTTGCAGCAGTTGTAAATGGAATTGAGTCCTTAATTTGTCTTTCTACTTATTCATTTTTGGTGTATAGAAATGTAACAGATTTCTGTACATACATTTTGTATCCTGCAACTTTACTGAATTTGTGTATCAATCCTAGTATTATTTTAGTGCAATCTTGGGGTTTTCTATATAGAGTATCATATCAACTGCAAATAGTGGAAGTTTTATTTCTTCCTTGCTGATTTGGATACTGTTTATTTCCTTTTGTTGTCTGATTACTGAGGCTATGACTTCCAGTACTATGTTAAATAAGAGTGGTGAGAGTGGCCATCCCTGTCTTGTTCCTGACCATGAAGGAAAAACTCGCAATTTTTCCCCTATAAAGACAATATTAACAGTGGGTTTTTTGGTATATGGCCTTCATTATGTTGAAGTATGTTTCCTCTAAACCTACTTTGTTGGAGGTTTTTATCATGAATGGAGACTACTTTGTTAAATGCTTTTTCTGTATCTAATGAAATGATCAGGTTTATAAAGAGTTAAGAGAATGGAATAGTGGGGGTACCCTATATTTGCCTTGCCCCTCAAACACAGCTAGATAAGTATCGAGTCATTCTGAACACCCATGAAATCAGTCTGAGGACTGAGATAACAAATTGAACAACTAGAGGGAAAAAAGAGGCCACATTATGGAAGCACAGACAGACTTCAGTGAGCAAAACAGTGCCCACAGTAGAGGCTTAAGCTGTGTACACTAAACCCTGGCCCCATGAGCTCTGTAGGTGCTTTTTTCCTAAGGCAAGCTTGCCTGAGAGCCAGAACAACAGGCACCTTCCCCAGAAATCAACACAAACCACCCGCCCTCACCAAGTCTACTGACCATGGAGTGTGGCAAAACTTCAGATCTAGTGGAAGCTGGATCTAGCTTCTTTTAACAAGCTGACCAGAGCACACCTAGCTAAAACTCACCATGCCCTGGATAAGGTCCAAGCACTCCCTACTGCAGGGAAGAAGAAACTCTGCAGAAGACTGACATGAGGGAAAGAGCAGCCAAAACACAGCAACAGAGTACACACAGCATACACCAGAAACATTTCCTGAAGTATCAGGCCCTGATCAGTATATGACATCTTCTTCATATAGCCATTACCCTCAGGAACAGGAAATATAACGGGCTTTCCTAACAGACAGAAGACAAGATACCTAGGCAAAATGCCACATTGGAGGAATACATCCCCAAAGAAATAACAAGGTCATGGTCAGGGATCTAATCAATATAGGTATAATATGCCTGAAACAGAATTTGAAACAACAATCATAAGGATAGTAGCTGGGCTTGAGAAAACCATACAAGATACTGGGGAGTCCCTTACTGCAGAGATAAAAGACTTAAAAACTAGTCAGCCTGAAATAAAAAATGCTATAAATGAGATGTGAAACAGATTG